ACTGGTCTTGCTTACACTGAAGAAGACTCAGAGTAGACATTATTGCTCTGTACAACTAGTTTAAAGGAGGTTGTGGTGAGGTGGGTGTCAGGCTTGTCTTCCAAGCAGCCAGTGACAGGACAAGAGGAAACGGCCTCAAGTTGTTCCAAGAGAGGATCAGGTAGGATATCAGGAAAAATTTTACACTGAAAGAGTGGTAAAGGGAAGCGGTGAAGTCACCATACCTAAGTGTTCAAAAAACGAGTAGACATGGTGCTTTGTGATAGTTTAGTGGGCCTGGTGGTATCTGGTCAAAGGCTGGATTTGATGATCTTGGAGGTCTTTCCCAACCTTAATGATTCTGTGAGCATTTGGGTAGCCTTTGTTGTGGCTGGAAAAGTATTTGAGAGGCTCACTCTGATACGTTCCTTTTGCCGAGTCATTTCTCCAAGGTCTGATTCTCCCTTGCATTGCATTCTTGATAATCATTTATGCCTGTGTAAAGTAGGCATAAAAGTGCTTTCATATTGTAGTGCAGTGAAGAGCTGGGATTACAAATTCTTCAGCATCAGAGGGATTTTTTTCTTTATATTGTCACTGAAAACTTGCATTTTGATGAAGAATTGCAGCAGTTTTACTTGTATCTTTATCCATGCTGCATGTCTTTGGGCCTGAATTCCTGCAGTGCAGCATATACCTAGCCTGGGAAATTCTTGTGGCCAGTGCTGAATGCCATGATTTATTATCATGGGAAGTAGTGCAGCTGTAAGCAGCAGCTTAATATGACGCATAGAGCAGAACTCAGATCCAGCATGATTAACCTGAAGATGTGTCCTGAGGGCCAGCAAAGTAATGTCATTTGGGAATCTGTCTCCACTGACTGAATAACCAACTCTAGCACCTTCCTGCGTAACTGTTCAAACCTCCTTGGTGCCATTCAAAGGCTGGCCATGGCCATGCAGCCTGATGGGGCTAACAACTAGTCCCACCAAATAACCTCTAGGCCTTCTCCAGGGATTGAGATGGCTCCACCTCTCAACTTGGATCACAAGTTAGTTTGAGTGGGGAAGAAGTATTAATCCAAATCACTGGGTTTCTGAACCTGCACATATGAGAAAAATTTAGGCTATGAGGAATCTCGCCGTTCTTCTAAGAAGGGTCAGTTGTCCTTCTAAGGGTCAGTACTGGAAAACAGGTTGTTGGAGATTTGCATGGCAATTAGGTGCCCAGGCCCCCTGTAGCCAGGGTGATGGGAGATATCTGATCAGAAGCTTCAGATGGTGTGTTGGTTTTTAAATGGTCTTATTACTAACTTTGGCAAATTTACAAGGTATTTAGTGGTTCTCACCCAATTGTTGTTTAATTCCTTAAAATAAAAAAATAAATTCTATGATGTGGTAATTAATTCCAGGGCATAAACCAGTAGCAAAATATGCTCAAATGTTATGTGCCACTGCGATTAAAATGTAAATCAGTCTAACTCAATGATCTTGCTTACATCCTTCAGAAAGAACAGTCCAAAATAAAAGTTACCAATTTTTTAAAAAGGGTTGTTTTTTTGTTGTTTTTTTTTTTAATAATAATGCATGCAGACAGATGTAACTGTTTTTACCCTGGTCACTATAACATAATGAGGATCCTTATAAGAATATGCTGTATTTCAAAACTGAAATATGTAGAAGGGGATAGGAGACTTCAGCAGTATCAGCATAAATGGAAAAATATTGCAATGCTTAATTTTTGTAGTATATTGGCTACCATTAGAACAGCAAACATAGATTTCCAGATGTTTGTGAAGAGTCCAACAGTTACATTTTATATCTAGGGCTGTAGTAACAATTTCTATTCAGCAGCCTAGAAAAACATTTCATGTTACAACATGAAAGAAATATTGCCGTGGTTTTGTCCCCCTCATTCCCTATATAAAAATTTCTGAATACTTCAGTCAATGACAAATAAAAATGATGGTTTAAAAATTAAAGCCACAGTCACTAAGGGCGGAACATAAATGTGCAGATGTTTTGTGATGCTCAACTTTTCAGCCGCAATGCTGTTGTGGAGAGGACTGGAAATCCATCAGAGTCAGACACCGTCAAAGGCATTCCCTAAGCTACACTGTCAGAAAAGGTTGTTAACTTTTCATGTTCTTTCCAGATTCTCTTAAGAAAAAATAATCAAAACCACACAACCTATTCATAATGGCTTATATACAGCTCTCACTATTTTATTAGCAAGAGATTAACTGCACTCTGTTAATACAAGTGAGCAACTTAAATCTAGAGTTCACTGGGCAACCTGTATGAGTGGAAAGCTGCATTGTCCTGAAACTGTTTACAAAATACCAATTTTCCTTCTCCAAAAAGGAAAATTTTTTACAAGCTTAGCAGCGTTTTTAAGTCACCTCTGTGCCTTAATGAAGTTATACAAATGGCTGCCTGGAAATCTTGTCTTTACCACACCTACATGGCTAGACAAAAAACCAAGTTTTTAAAGGCACTCCTTGAAACTGGTACATTTAATGCCTGTGCATGAAGACAGACCTCTTGCCACCCAGGAGTTGGCAGACACTTCTGTGACCACACGTGTAGCACCAAGCCATCATGACAGAGCATGAGCTTCTACTGCCACCTCTCTCTCTACTGCCCAGTAGTTACAAGGATGGAAATAAAGATCAAAAATATAAATGGATGTCAGCTCCTCCCTCTCCTGTTTATTTTACCTGCTTTTAATGAGTAAGATGGAGGTCACAGGTGATATTTTTTCCACTGCCTGGCCCCGGTGTGCACAGAAAGCTCTCCAATAGTGTCATGATTCCCCAAGCAACCAAAAACCCTCTGGAGCAAGAAAGCCACGGGCAGCTGTGCCACTTCCTAGGAAAAGGCAGTGGGGATGCTGCAAGTAAAGGCAGTGTGGTGGGAGTACTGGCTTTTGGAAGACAGGTGGTCCAGAGGGGAAGGGCTGGCATATGTTAGGGGAGGCAGGGAGAGGGCCAGAAAGTGTGCAGCCATGGGGAATTGTGGAGCTGAAACCACATCTCTGATGGCCTGGCCCCTTTTCTAAGTCTCAGGAATTGCCTGTCATATGTGCCTTGTGCAAGGTGTCAGGTATCAGTTTTCCATAATGAAAAGCACCATTAGCATGTAAAGACAATTCATTAGGTGCAACATAGCAGAACTGTAATTAATTATTAGATACTATTTCTCACAAAATGCAACTCCAAGATCACATTGCATAAGCCACAATATTGGACTGATGAAGCATAAACAAGAGTAATGATAAACACCAGTGAATGGAGTTGGGAAGAGATGGTTATCAGAGTACCAGTGTGTTTCATGAGGGGTTTATTTAACAGTCTCATTAATGATCTGGAAAAGGAAGTGAATAACCATTTAATTAAGTTGGCATTTGATACTAAATTAGAAGTTACTGCAGACACCTCTGAGGGCAGCAAAATAAATCAAAAAGGAGCTAGAAACTTGCAAGGTAAAAAAGGAAAATGAGATCTGGTATGAAGAAAAAAAGCAAGCTCATCTCTCTGGAAGCAAATAATCATGCAGCTATCAGTAGAGGAATTCTGAAGAAAGCAGTGTTGAAAGAGAGGCAGGGATGTTAATGGACTATACATTCCCACACAGCTCGGATATATGTTTACAGAAGCAACACATCAAGGAGCAGGAAGGCAATAGCCCTTCACTGCAGGGCTGTAGTGAGAAGCCATCTATAATGCTGCACTCTGTTTTGGGCACCCTGTTATCAGAGAGATATAGACAAATTGGAATGAGTTCAGAAAAGAGCCATAAAAATGATCCCATATCCCTGGAGATAATGACTTATGAAGAAAGATCACAAGAAGTAAATGTGTAAGGCCTTGTCTGAAAGATGACTGAAGAAGGACAGGAAAACAATCTGCAAAAATGTGAGAGCAAAAAGGGAGGAGGGTAATTTATCATAGTAACTATTAGTAATACGATGAAATAATAAGTAACAACTATAAATTTTGAAAGGGCAACTTCAGGTTGAATGTAGGGAGAAATTTCTGACAGTGGAATTTGGGTTAGTTTGCAGAGAAGTTTCCCAGGGGTAAAAGTAAAAGCCGCATTCAAATCATTTAAAATCAAATTGGACAACTCACTAGAAAATGCACCCTGCTATAGGGAACAATATTGCATTGCCTAGGGAATAAGCTGGATGACTTAATATGATATTTCACACTCAGGTCTTTATGACTCTGATATTTTTAATATGCATGGTCAACTATTTCAGGAGAATACACATTTCTTCTGCTGTCAAGCCTGACAATACAAACACTAGCATGTAAACATAACTTTAAAGAAGCAAGTAGCCCTGCTGACAGCACTGCACTGCTGACATGCAAAAACACAAGCCTGAGCTCTTCAAGTTTTTTCAGACTGAGTCTTAGATCTTGAATTGTCAATATCAAGATGGTATAAACAGGTAGCCATATCATTTATGGGTAGGTGAAGAAGTGTACAAAATGGAAGATGGTGGTTGGAAGCTCCAGTGAAGATGTATTGTTGTTGTTATTTTTGTGTTTATTGCTATTACTACTTAAGACTGGTAGTGTGAGGTTCAACTCCGTTTCTTAATTGTTCTCTTTTTTGGTCTCCTGCTTTCGCCTCTGGGCTGAGTGTTCATTAGACAGCATAAAACTGCTTTCTATATTGCTTTTTAACACTTAGTATTTTTAATATATCCTAAAATGTCTGTGGAATGGGAAAAGAGACAAGGTGAAGTGAAAACTTGACTCTCCCCCCGATGAAAAAGATGGCAAAGGCTTTAAATGGATATGAGAGTAACCCCATATTTTCCCTCCAGTTATAGCCATATAATGTTGAATTCGTTTCACTATTCATTAGCAGTAGAGACAAGCTCACAGGCATTCAGAGTGTGCTCCCTGAGACATCATGGTTCTTACATGTGGGGTTTTTATGTTTATGTTCCTGTTTTCTTCTCTTCCCTCCCATCCCTGCACCCCGATGGGCTGTGTGTGGGGCTGGCAGCCTGGTGGTGCCACAGTCCAATGCCCGAGCCTCGGGGCTTTCCAGCAAGGGGTCGAGCAGCAGTAGCTCCAGTGAATCCGAGACCAGCTCAGAGTCTGACTCAGAGAGTGAAAGCAGCTCCAGCGAGAGTGACGGCAGCAAGCCCTCGCATTACTCCAGCCCAGAGGTAAGGGCTTCTCTCTGTATGATTTAGGGTGGCACTCCATTACTACACTCACACCTTTTCCCAGCCAAGCCAATACAAGGAGGCTGTGAGGAAATGCATGAAAAAAAAAAAAGGGAAAGGCCCAAGGATCCTCCTCCTGGAATGCTGTGAAATATATCTGGGGCGAGGGGACCTTAGGGCAGATTAAAGCATTTGAAACAAAAATGAAGAAAGAAATAACCCTGTTACATTTTACTCAAATTGGAGATGAGTGGAGCACCTTGCAAGGTTCACAGCTTGCTTGAAGTTATATGCAATTCTGCCTCCATAGCAATGGCTTGCTTAGTGTGTAAGCTCTGATGTGGGCTCCCAGCACTGCAAGGGAACTAAAGGGAAGCTATTAAAAAATCAGTTTGAGGGTGAATTTTTAAAAGAAACCAGTTATTCACTCATGCACTTCCCTTGTCTCACTCTCTAAGTGAATTATTCTCTGCTACTGCTGCCTTTATGTGATTTCTTTCAATTCACCTCCAAAATGGACTAAACTGAATTACTCATGGTGCAAAACACTGAGCCCAAACTGACTAGAAACTGACTGATCTGGAAAGCTAGCACTGAAAATTTCCACATGTAGACAAGCCCTAGCCAAACTAAAATTAAACTGCCAGTGCTGTGACACCTTCTGCTTTCACCTCTGCAAAAAGCTCAATAGACAAAACAAAGCTGCTTTCTCTTTTCTGCTTTTCTGCCAGAATGGATGTTTTCACATGTTTTGGTCAATACACATGTTTAGAATTAAACTATGAACTCCATAACCACATCACACACGTTAATGTATGTAAAAATATTCAAAAATCTAGCAGCAAGATTGTAAATACACATGAAATACAGTCTGTGTATTTTCTTACTCCACAAAAACCATCCAATCACTAGACTCCTCCCCCCCAAAAAAACTATGTCTCACCTATTCTCTCACCCTGAAAAAAAAAATTATGCTGAAAAAACATCGAACCTCTCCTCGTATTTTCCTTGGTTATTGGGAGACATGTTTCCAACTGAGCAAAATGCAGTACTCACAGAAATCCTTAATATATTTTTCTCAGGTTCTGTCACTTTTGTTCCTTGTTTAACACTTATCTTCTGTCTTTCCTTCACAGTACTTTCAGCCCCATTTCCAGTTAATTTTCCTCCCACTTTATCCACTTCCTACATATCTCTCTCTTCCTTCCAGTCTCTGTTGTTACTCTCCCTGCAGTACCCCATGTCTTCTTTCCCATTCAGAGCTTTCTCATCTGACCTGTTAAGACCTTGTTCTCTGTTTGCTTAATTCCCTGCTGGAATTAGTGTAAAGATCTCATGCTCGGTCTCTCCTCGCCCTGTGGGATCTCAAAAGGTGGAAGAAAAGGGGCAAAGAGAAGAAAGAAAGGGGAAGAAGGTATGAGATGAAAGGAGGAGAAGCACAGGAAGACAGGAAGGGAGGAGTGGTTACTATCTAGGTAGATACCCATTCTGCTTGGACCCAAGAGCAGCAATTCCTCAGAGAATGCACAAAGCTGATTAACTGAGGCAGGTCATGGATTTCATAAAGCCCAGCAGAGAACTAAGTCATGGAATCATGGAGGAAGTGCCTCCTCTTAAGCATTTTATAGATATCCTCTTGAGATCTGTGGAACTACTTTTGTACAGAGCCTGAGCTGTCAGTGATCATTGTCACGAAACAATTGCCCCACTCCAACAGATTGCTTGTCTCTTTGCATTATATTTGTGTGGTTTGCCTTCTAGGACATATTGCATGAAACATACCTACACGAAAATGTAAGTGACTTAAAAATGTGGTGGCTGCAGTGATTTTCATAGGCAATTTTCATCCCTTGATGGGATATGGGAGACAGCACACACAGATAGAGTGTGGGTGTCCCAGGGAGGTAGAATACCTGTGTTTTCCCCAAGGGTAAATGGTTTTCCAAGCCTATCATATGACTGATTTCACCAGTTCAAACATGCTCAAGTGATGTCTGACTGAAAGTCCTATTATCTTTGCATAAATGCTTTAACTTATATTTATGCAGCCAGTGAAGCCGTGTTCCTAAAATATATGCCAGTTTCTTACCCAGTAAATGGAAAGAGACAGGTCCTTCAAAGCTCTCTAAATGGAGGCCATGTCCACATAAGTAGTGGATTCAATTCTAGATTTAGTCTTAAAATTAATGTTATCTATTGGAGAAGACAAAAAAGTAAATACATCTTGGTTTTTCATTTAGCATTAACTGGTGCTTTCAGGTTCAATGAACTTGACTAGTCCAGCAGAACGCTGGGCAAGAAAGGTTGGGAGGAACTTAATGTAGAAATCTGCAAACCATTATGGTGCCTTCATTCTTTTTTTTCCTTCCCATAATCTGAAATATTATGTGCATATACTCAAAGATTTTTATTTCTGGGACAGTGTATCTTCTGCATTTGAGGTTATATAACAATTCAAGTGCTGTTTCATGTCTTCTGTAATTTTTCCTCATCTCATTTTGAGATTTTCGAGTTGTCCTCAGGTGCCTAAATGCAGTTGCCTAGAATGTAAAAGCAGCTCCTTGTAAAGCCTACATATAAAGTAGATTAGATGAATTGCACCCTAAAAGTGTCTGTTTCTTTCCATTGACTATTTAGAGCCTGTAGTGACTAGCTCAGCTGTCTTCACTTTATGTCTGCAGTAAACTAAGAATAATGGCTGAGCTAGAACAGGAGACAACATTCAGACTGGTTTCAGTGATGTGGACAAATTAAGGTGCCTCAGACATTAATGGGAGTAGTTAAAGTTTTGTGGACTGCCAAACCTAAAATTATGAACAAGGAACTGAGACTTCTATCTCCTGTTTCTTTGCTGAAGTCATGAATTCTTTGAATGACCTTAATTAATGTCATAAATGAGGAATCTGGAAAACAGTGACATCTTACCCTTTTTCAGATGGTTGAAAAAAAATAGCGTGTCAAGTATATAGAAAAAGCTACATTTCTAAAGCTAAAAATGTGGTTAGTTTGTTCTTTTTTCCATTGAATTATCCTGCAAGCCTTTACTAAAGCTGCATTTGGCTAGCCACAAATTCCTACTATGAGGGAGGACAAGAATGAGGAATGGGCAGGAAGGAGGCAGAGAAGCTATCACATGGGACAAAGGATCACTGGCCTCTCAACAGTAATCAGTCCAGAAGAGAAAGATGCCCCTTTATGAGCCCCACCAGCCGCACATACCAGATGCAATGGGCTTTACAGGTTTTGTTGCTGTGACTAGTTCACAACTGTTAGTTTCTTCCTCCTTTTTAAGGAGTCACATATACAAAAGAAAATGGAATTTTACCACTAGACCAGCTGTAAACACTATCATTACCTTTGTAAACAGGATTCATGGGTTTTGGCTGTCCTGTGAACTATTATTGACAAAGACTCTCCCTTCCCTCCAGAAAACGCTTTGTGCCAAGAACCACCTCTCACAGTATATGTGTGCTGTGCCTAACACATGGGAATGCCCAGTTCAAATTCGTTAAAGCACTAGCAGCAATGTTAATAGTAGCAATGAAGTAATAGTAATAATCATCATCATCATCTTCTTCTTCATCATCATTGCCGTCTGTGACTTTAAACATAATGAGAAAGCACCACATTTGTATGGGGATTGCCCTGAGTGAAGTATTTGATAGCAGGGCAGCACAAGCAGATTTCCCCAAGGGTAAATTAGTACATGGCAGAGTAGCTTGCAGGGATGGTGGACTAAGTCCATGCAGATTTTATAGGCTCTCTTATCTCTCAGTGAATGTGGTGTCTACTTCAAGTTTATCACACAATAGCCACACCTTAGGTTCCTCATTGCAATAGCAAGCATAGAATGACCCTATTATACTGGCATTGTTTAACAACCCTTTACCCTCAAAAGTGTTTCTGGATAACATTTTGACAAGTTTCTTTTTGGATGCATGCCATTCATGCCTCTGGTTGCACTTGCAGCCTTGAAGAGATCTGAGATATATATAGACATGCTGCATGGGAGTCATCCCACCTAAATTTGCATACTTCTGTAGATACCTACATCTGCTCACCACTTCAGCCTCCCCTTTACAGTCTGTGGAGAGGAAAAGATGTTTTTAGGGCCCAGCTCATCTGGCCTATTTCATATGTCTATTTCAAGAGGAATTTTTCACACCCTAGAAGACTAGTCCACTGACTGGAGAAGGAACTTGTTGACTAGCTAAGATATAGGTGTCTGTGTTGTACAGATGAATCCACCCACAATATTTAAGGAAATGTATCACATCCTCCTGTTTCTTTATGAAGCCTGGCACATGTGTATGTGTGTGATACATTGATCCCTGAAAGTGTCTTTGTTCTGTTAAGTTTCCTGGTTTGAGTTTTCATGCCAAACCTATATTTAATTGCAAGTCAGCTGATCACAGACTGTTATTCCTATAGCTGGTGCCCATCTGGACAGCAGTGGCTTTACCCTAGCTGAAAACTGCCCAGATCTCTAAAAGGCCCTAGGGACAGCATTTTTCCATGACACCAAAACCTATGGACAGAGAGCATTTTTGTATCAGAATATTCTGGATATATATTCATATGTATCTCTATCCTTACATGCTGCTGAAAAACTTCCAGTTCAACTTTTCTTCCATAGAATGGTGTGTGGAGCAGGAATTAGGGATTTTCTTTTTCTCCCACAAATAATTACAATTAGGTATGTATAATGGATGGGCAAAATTTTTCAAGTGAATTTTCCTAGTCCATTTTTTTACCAGTCCTGTTATCTATTCTTGTCTGTCATGATTTGTTCTCTTGCAAGGTACTTTTTTTTTTTTTTTTAATGTGATCTCAAAGTACAGTAATTTTCAGTTAGAACAATTGAATAAATTATTTCCAAAAATGAACTGGCATCACTCGTGTACACTGACATTCTCAAATATTCCAAAATGGTATCAGAGCCCAAAATTAGTAAGAAAAGTTTTAAAATTCTGATTTTTTTTAGATTTGGATCATTTTAATTTACCTGATGGGCTGCAGATATTTTACTTTTTTCAGATGCATCTTAAAGGATTTTTTTAGCAGACAGATCTAAGGGTTTTTTTTCAGAAGCTGCAAGGATTTGAATTTTTATTTAACTGAACCTCAAAAGTGCACCTGAAACTCCTGACAAAACCAGTAAAGCTGGTAACAGTGTTTTTATTAAAAACATTTTTATTAAAATTATTGAACTTCATAGTTGGAAAATAGGTTGGTAGGAGTATAGATATTATGCCTAAATAGCAGACATGCTACTCTAGGAAAGTTCTGCACTGCCAGGTTATGACACTACGGCATGTAATCACTTTTTTTCTGCTGGTTTACTGTGATCCCTTGACATCCGTGAGCCACATTTTCAAGAATTACAAGATACATAAAGAAGCAGAATGGGATGTAACAGATGAATTAGAAGTTTTTTTGACTTTCCAAGCAGCACTCACTTTGACCTATACTTACGGGCAGAAGTGTATTCTTCCCCATGTGCTTCTGATGTATCTCTTTTTCTGAAATACACCTGAATAGTGGAAAGATTTCCATGTATACTGAACCTTTTATTATATATCTAGTAAATTCAGTATGTGCACAGTGAATGGCACTAAACAAATCTATCTGTATTTTCAACAGCAATAAAAAAAAATGCTGTTCATTTTTAGATAAAGAGTTAAGGGTTGTAAAAATACAGCTTCATCCAAGAGAAATATTGACCATCCATTTTCAAGATTTACAGCTCAGGAAAGAAATTCCTCAAGTAAGATATTAAGGAACATGCTTTAAAAAACATAAATGTAAGGCAGTCCTGCAAACTTCCCATAGGTCTGGGCTGATGAGTAAATCATTAATGAGTAAATTAGACACTTTAGTTAGAAGGAATATTTTTATCATATGAATTCCAATGTCTAATTTTTTTGCTTATTTTAGGAGCCTTTGCTCCATGTAGTGTGCATACAATCCTCCATGGGTGATTCTTAAGGCGCCCTTGGCTGTACAGGAAACCTGTGTTGCCCTCAGGCATCTACTTTAAATAAGAAGTAAGATACTCTTTTAAGTTAGAGACTGTGGATATTGTCCCTTGAGCAAACTTTCTTCCAGAGCACTGATGGTTTTCATGTTCGACTCGTGACACAGTTTTTTGATCATTCACATGCAGTAGCCTAGTGAACCAAATATTGGTTTCATCTGAGGAAATTAAGAAATTTTTCGTTTCTGCTTTTGTGGGGTTAGGTTATGGCCAGCCATCTACTCCATCATCTATTTCTTTTGGGGGTTTTTCCTTTCCTCTTTGTTTTATTACATTCAAATTACTGATTGCAAGAAGCACTAGAAAACAGTCACACATTGTTCTGAAATAACATTGTCTCAGCTGTGGTTACATTTGAAATCATGATTATCCCACTTCTTCCCTGTCCAAACACCATTATGTTTTAGATGTACTCTTATAACTTGATAGTGTTGTGACAGACATTAAAAGAAGAACTAACAGCCACACAATACTCACAAAATGAACCCACGAGAGCACCACCACACAACAAATGTTTGTGGATTATAATGTCAATACCAGGCAGATTACATGAAGTGCCTGGTAAGCCCTCCAACTCCCCACCACATGCCACTTTGTATGCTCTTTGAATGCTTTCTGTATTTACTTCAATTGCACAGGACACAAAATACACATCCCTAGCTTTCCTGATAGCTATCCTCCCCTAGCCTCTGCTGTACCCCTGCCTTGTTTTCCTCCCTTCCTATCACCATTGCATTTTTTTTTCTATTTGGAAACTTGGAAGTGTTTCCCAGTAGAGCCAATGGCAGTACTGCTCTTGTGAATCACCCTTGGAAATGATGCATCACAGAAGCCCTTCTCATCTCCAAATCCCATTCTGAAACCAGAAACATCCCAGTTTGCAAGGCATGAGCCCTGTCCTGCCACGCAGGGCCAGTGCCGAGGGGTTGCCATAGGCTGGGGCGGCTCTTGTATCGAAGGAAAATCTCCGTGGTGGCCAGAGGGATGCGACGTTTCGGTGGCCCTGAGGGACGCCCGGGGTGGGGGCAGCAGGGTCTTGGCACTAAGCTCGTTGCCTTCTGTTTCCCTTTCAGCCTGAGCCGCCCTCGTCCAACAAGTGGCAGCTGGACAAGTGGCTGAACAAAGTTACCCCTCACAAAGCGCCCATCCTAACCCACCACGATGGCCCGGCGCTGGAAGCCCATCCCTACTACGGCCGGGTGAAGGCAGAGCGGCAGGAAGGACAGAAGACCCCGGCTGAGGGCCCGGCCGAGCACCGCAGTGAGGAGAGCCGCACCACCGCCGCCGCCGCCGCCGCCGCCGCCGCCGGGGACGGGCCGCGGCCTAGGACCGCCAACAAAGCTCCAGGCAGCAAGGGCAGTCGTCAGAAGTCACCCCTCGCTGGCGACGGCGGGCCGCCGAGGCGGGCAGCGGGGAAAAAGGCACCGCGACGAGCCGAGAGGAACTCCGCCGGAGACGGGCCCCCCTGCCCCAGCGCAGAGGAGCCCCCCCGGAGCCACGGCTTCCCTGAAAGCGCTGCTGCCGAGGCGCCCAGGGCCCGGCCCGGCGGCGGCGGCTGTAGAGCGGGGCACCGCCGGGAGCCCCGCTCAGCTGCAGCTGGTGAGAAGCGTCGGGCCCGAGGGCCGAGCAAAACGGCGCCCAAATCCAAGGAGTTCATCGAGACCGAGTCTTCATCCTCATCATCCTCCTCCGACTCAGGCTCTGAGTCGGAGCGGGAGGAGCGCCCGCTGCCCAAGGCGCCAGCGGCAGCCGGGCCTGAGCCGCGGGCTGCCAAGGACGCAGGGACCGGCACCGCCAGCAAACCCCACGGCGGCTGCAGTGCCTTTGGCTCTATTAATGCCAGGACTAGTAGTGAAATAGCAAAGGAGCTGGAGGAACAGTTTTACACCCTGGTTCCTTTCGGTAGGAATGAGCTCCTGTCTCCTCTGAAAGACAGTGATGAGGTAAAGTCGCTGTGGGTCAACATTGACTTGGCTCTTTTGTCCAGGATTCCAGAGCGTTTGCCCGAAGAACCGCTGGCCATGAGCGCCGGAGCAAACCAGGCGGCCAGCTTCCCGCAGGGTAGTAGTGCTGAACCCCCCGCAGAGAAGGGTTTACCGAAATCTAGAAGGAAACGCAAGGTGAGCTGCTGGGGAACCGATCGGAGGGGTAGGGGAGCCTCCAGTGAGTGAGAGGCAAACTCCGCTTGCGCCCACATGCAGTGCTCGATGGCAGCATCTTCTCCAAGCTGGCGTTTCAGAGCTGGGATTTGTCCCTGCTCTCCACGTAGGGACTGGCCAAACCCCAGGGGAAATGCCATCTCTGGAGGTGATGAAATTCCTGGCCACGAGGGATCACAGCTCCTTGGAGACAGCGTTTACTGCTGGCATGTGCCTTTGCATGCCTTAGCGAAGGCACTGCCTTTATAGTAGCATAATTTTCTCTCCTGAGGCTTCTCTCAAAACCTGAGCATTTGGAAATAATGCTCAGGTCAGCAAAGGGACAACTGTCTGCTGTCTTGTCATAGTCTACACAGTATCATTGTGTGTGTGGTAAAAAAAGAGGCAGCATCTCTTCCCTTCTGACTGTCAGCAAGAGGCAAGCCCTTCAGCCCCAGCAGGGAGCCCTGGCTTTGTGAGGGATGCATTTGCAGAGACCTGGGACCTGACTGGTTCCAGATCCTGGTTCCCTCACACCCTGGTGGCCCCATTTTCCCTTGGGGCTATAGTCCATTAGCTGCCCCCTCCTCAGCAGCACTGTCACAGTGCTTGGATGGGCACAGCCCTCTGCTCACATCCACCCTTCTGTCCTACTTCTTACTTTCTGGTGCCAAGGAGAAAGCCCCCTCCACTCCATGGCCAAAGCTGTCCACCTAGCAGGCTTTCTGGTCTGTTTGTACCAATCTGACCCCAAAAGTAATTCTGAACTGCAATCACCATCTGCTCAGTTTCTGGACAGTTTTGCTGTGCAGCCAGTCATCTGTTGCCCTCTAAGCTACTGTATGTGTGCAGATGGACCTGTACATTTTTGAAGACCATTTATCTAAAGCAGTCTTCCGTATCGTTTTATCTTTCTTCATTTTTTCATTCTTCTTTTATTAGTATCTGGAACGTGGCAACCCTGGTTCAAGTGGGGAAGTGGTGGAAACCAAGTTTTATATTGTACCCTTTCTTTACATGCTGCCTCTTTAGGTTTTCTTTTTTAAGACATGGTCCAATCTCTGAGTCCATGTTAGCTGTATACTCAAACAAAGTATCATCATTTGTAACAAAATGACAGAAAATACCAGCCCCAGACTTGTTGAAATATTCTTGTATCTGTAGTAAATCCAAACCATAAAAAAATACTACTTTTCTCTTCACTCAGTGTGACAATGAGGAAGAGTGCAGAGACATCAAGAAGACTCACTTAGAGCGAGAGAGTTCTTCACGATTAGCTGCCTCTGCCCAAAGCATCACAACAGCAAATCACTGCAATATGAATGAAAATAGGTAAGCTTTTTCCTTGTTAGTTACCACTGAATCATACAGCTAGTTGCAGTTTATTGCCAGGTGTTATTTCTAACTTTAGTATGATTTATTTTTTAATTATCACATTTTATGTTGAAAAATTAACTGTCGCAGTCTCTGTTCTTCTAGTTTAATGATGAAATTAGTAGCTCCTGACACATTCGTATACTTAGGTTTTTGTCCTGTTGCACAAAGAAGTTGTGAGGCTCATGGAACAAGTAATTAAGCTAGAGCAGTATGATTTCCAAGACACATTCCCTAACACTGTGTTGTAGACAGCAATTCACATATATAACCATCTTACAGCCCTTTCTTTACTTTATTTACTTACAAGTTTCAAGCTTTAAGTTTGACTGTATAAATAGAATTATGTATCAGCTCTGTGGAAAAGATTGAAAAAAATATTCATAACAATGCCTGCAATACTCAGCTCTAGAAGATATTTGAGAATCAGTATTTTTGAGATTACAAGCATTCCATTCTTCGTAATTAGTAAGTATTCTAGGACAAGGAACTTAAGACTTTTTAAAAAGTGAGATTTTTGAAGGATATAGGGCATGAAACAAAAGATGAATATTTAGCATTCGCTGGCATGGTTTATGCACACAGAGCCCTATCAGTGTTGGAGCAATCACACTTGAGTTTCTCTGGGGGCTTCCAGCAGTCAAACTTAGACACGCACGTTTTCAGAGTTCAGCTGCATGCTGCTTGGTACATGCTGGTTATCAGTATTTTTTTATTATTATTATTATTTTTCTGGTAGTATCAGGGTACATCTTGGGATGAAATTGCTACAAAATAAGAAAATATTTTTATTTACTGTAGTAGGCTTTTCTATTGCACACATCTTTGATGAGATAGAGCAATTCTTGTCATTAATACTGGAAAAAATCACGAAGAAAACTGATATATATATAGTGTTTATTCAAAAATATGCATTCAGTTTCTTTGTCCTGACATGTCACATATGTTTCATAAAGTGAAAACAATGCCCAGAATGGTTCCTTTCTTGTGAGTGGTTGCATGCTTTCCTGTTACCCCAGTGTCAGTATGGTTTATGTTGCATTAATTTTCAGAGAGTAGAATGGCTGTCATAGCTTGCTGTGTCACAGGGTTGATTCTGTGCTTCCTGGAAGCAAGACAGTAGTTTGTGTTTTTCTTGACATTATATTCAGTACTTCCAGTAGCAACTGTGTATTAAAGAAACAAATAATCTCTGAAATGTACAGTTGCCTCCTAATTCCTACAGTTGCCTTCTGGTTTTCCCTGCTTCCAAGATGCTTTTGTGGTTTGTGCCTCAGTGTAGACCATGATATCAAATGCTGATAATCCCACTGCTGAGGAAGGGCTACTAAGGCTGTAGCTAAACCAGCAGGGCAGATATCAAGACCTCCTGGTCATCTTGCAACCAGCATCTATCTGCTCATGCTGGCACAGCCCCTCTCCAGCTATACCACCATAGATGCCTCTGAGGTTCTCCTGTAAATATACTTGTGAAACTTGTTTGGAACCAAACCTCTTTTTTCCTTTTCCTTTTTCATTTTCCTTTTTCCTTTTCCTTTTCCTTTTCCCCTTTTCCTTTTCCCCTTTTCCTTTTCATTTTCCTTTCCCTTTCCTTTTCCTTTTTCTTTTCCTTTTCCTCCTTCTTTACCGTTTCCTTTCTCTTTTCCTTTTTCTTCTTTTTCTTCTTTTGCTTTTCCTTTTCCCTCCTTTTTTCCTTTTCTTTTTTTTTCTTTTTCTCCTCCTGTCTCTTTTACTTATCATTTTCCTTTTTCTATTTATTCTTTCTTTTTCTCTTGCTTTTTCCTTCTTTTAATTTGGGTTGGGGTTTTTTTGCCAGAGTAGTAGTATTCGTGTCCCAGTAAAGCCACGCAGACAGTTTGGGCAGAAGAGTTGTGGGCTGCAATGAGATGAACAAGACCACCTTCAGCCATGAGCATTTTCTGTTGTGGAATTACAGTCTGAGATGCAGACTCAGTAAGGTCCTGCTTGACAAGAAGGCTCAGAGATACCCCAAATCTCTTGCACCTTTATCAGCTCCACAGTCTGCCTTGAGACTGTCCTCTGCTGCAAGTTGTCCTGCATGGCCTCTCAGTGTAAGATGTACTGCTGCACTTTGGCTGCTCACACTATGTTTAGGTGGGCCCTACTCAGTGTCCAAAGGCCCTGTAAGGGGTGTTCAGCACAAGTAGAAATGTCAGCTCCTCCTCACAAGTTCAAGGCTGTTGGGATCAGTAGCACAGAAAATAGGCCCTTATCTGTGGTGCCTGGCTCTGACACCCAAGAGAGCACTGAGTTTAGCATAGTATCATGGAGACAGCTTTTAAAGTTAAGCAGAGAAATTTGGAATATGAGTGTGTAATTTAGATAGAGTTTTCTTAAGTCACTGGGTGAGAAAGTTAGAGTTTAGGGTTTAAGCTATTTTAGAAAGTAAGAGACAAGATGGAAGATTTGTCCCTTTCTTCTTCTTTCTTCTTCTTCCTTCTTCTTTCTTCTTCTTTCTTCTTCTTTCTTCTTCCTTCTTCATTGCCTTCTTCTAAGGGTTTTTGGGTAATAATGAGTGATTGGATAGAGAATGCTGCAGTGCTGCTGCACACAGGTGTTGGGTCATTGGATCACTAAGAGAAATAACTTACTTGGCATTTGATTACTGGACAAATAGACATATAAAAGACCTTGAAGAGATTCTTCATTAGCCATCTTGAACCTTTCTGTCTTAGTGTATGTAGCTCCTTGTATTCTGTGTATATCTCTAAACAACTGAGCCCAAACACAAGAAAACAGTCTCTCTCTCTTGTCAATCCCCAGTCCTGGGGAAAAGAACCCAACCACCAGTGTCACCACCACACAGGGTTAAGCTCTTGAGGGTTGTATATACTTCCAAAGAGCCATGGCTTCCCTTGGATGTTTTAGGCCCATGTTTTGACAGTGATGTATCTATCAACATGGGTAGCTGAGGCATGGGTTTATGTTTGAAAAGAGGAAAAGAAATTACAGCATCAGTCTGCACATTCAACATAGTGCTAAAGATCTTATTTTTCTTAGGGGGAGAAGAAGGGCACAGTTGTCTATCTTTCACACTCTGAGTCTTGCTTTTGTAAATATCATTGGTCATTAAAGCAAAATAGTTGACATGATGTTTTAAAGGTACTATGCCATGTGAAACAGTAAAAGTTCTGAATTACGATTCATGGCTTCTTTTACAGCTACTTTTTAAAAAGACTTGCCAGATAAATGGACAAATGTATGATAAGAGCACATTTAATTAGCTCTGTTCCCTGAAATTATGTGCAGAAATGAAGTATAGTTTTTACTGTATTCTTTTTTGTGATTCCATTAAGTGTATATTGTCTGATACAGTAACTATAAAGAAGTGAGAATTGTCCATAAAAAGTAATAGGCTGAATAAAGGGGAATGTGACAGGGAAAGGTATAGTGTTAAAATTGTCTTTCTGACCTTAATCACAGTTTTAGTTTTAATGCCAACTATCTCCTTAAAAAAACTTGGATTTTTGTGTGTTGCTTTAAGATTTTCAGCTAAATATTTTATTCAAATTAGTGCATCTGAAGTTTATTTCTGGGCATATTTATATGGTCTGTCTGACTTCTCATCCAAAACTTCTTCCAAATAAATGAAAGCTGAAAATACTGTCTGTGTAACAGCTTTCTGCTTTAGAAGATAGAGCAGCTCACATTTCTCTCTGTCTACTGTTTGCATATGTTTCCTTTTGTCTGCATTATCAGCCTATCTTTCTTTGTCTTCAAAATCTGTATTAGATTAGTATAAACACTGCTACCAAAGGCTGGGCACTGAGCACAAAGACAAGCCAGTCATCTTTAAACACATTTCCTGTTTTAGTTCACATATGGTTTTATTGCCATGGCTTATAAATTGTCACCTGTAATGGTGAAATAGGGCTCCATAACCTGAACTTACACTTCAGAGCCTAATCTTCATCTCCAGCTATCCCTTAAGAAATGGTGAGCAAGTAGCCATTTATCTCTATATTTTTTTCAAGTACTCTGATACAGACTTTATATTAGCTCCAGAATGACAACTTGCCTTGAAGGGAAAGAGAAGAAACATGATACAAATTTGTAAATGAACTCTTGGTCCCAATACTGTAAGCTCGTTTCCAGATACCAATAGACTTTATCCTGCCAGCAGGTTTTAAATTCAAAGTTTTGGTAATATATAAAACATTTACCTTTCTCAAAGCCAGCTTTGTGACACTCCATTACTGTAATTTCCATTTCCAGCTTGGCAATACCAATAAATAAAAATGAGAAAATGCTTCGGTCACCCGTCTCTCCCCTCTCTGATGCATCAAAACACAAATATTCCAGCGATGATTTAACTTGCTCCAGCAGACCTAATGGCAGCAGTCTATTACCTTCAATCTCCTCCAGCAAAAAACATAAGGGTGAAATCCAGTCGCAGCCACATCCCGGAGACTTCAATGTAAGTGTATGCTGTTCACAATATAAAACTTAGCAGTATATTTTCCACTTCGTATTGCAGTCTGTGATAGTTTTGCAGAATGTTATGCAAAAAAAAAAAAAAAAAAAAAAGTTGTAATAATGAATGTTATTTTCTAAGTTCAGCTTTTCTGGTTTGGAGTTTAGCAAGGCATAGAAGAAAGGAAATATGGCAGGCTGTAAAACAGGCAAATAGCAAAGGCTACGTAAGCAAGAGGTAAAAGCTAATGGACCCAAACAAATGGCTTTAGGCCTCCAGAGCATTGCTTGGGCATGATGCAAGCCCCCTACATTCATGGTGCATAAGCCCCCTGCTTATGGACTCACTCAGCCACTGCCTAACCATGGGTGTGCCTGCAGACAAATTTTTCTACCTGTCTCAGAAAAAACTTCTTCAGATTCTGCTTATACCAGTGACATCTTAGCACCAGCCTCACAACTCAGTTCCATCAGAGTTGTATTCATATCCTTATCAGAGCGTCTTGCCCAGAGCACACTTCCAGGTAAGGCTGTACTACGGCATTGTTCTGTGGCCTCTGCCTTCAGAGCACAGAGAGAGAGGAGTAGATGCTGCTCCTGTTTCTGCACGAGTTCTGTAATTACAATGCTGGAGTGAAGACCTTGTTAGCTCTTTTGATTGAAGGAATTTCCATCTCTCTCTCATCTCATCTTTCAAAATCATACCCTACCCTCCAGCCTACAGGACACTGAGAGTAGATGATCAAGGGCAGACTACTGTCACCTCCTCCCCATGACATTGTTCCGCTTTGTGCAAAATACCTAGAAGAAGCAATTTGGATACCATCATCTTGATGCCCACTGCTGTACCATCTAGAGAAGCTGTAAAGGCACTCTGCTGCCCATGCTCCTCTCCTTGCTACAAAAGCTATTCACATTTTTCATTCTGTATCTGTTTGCTGTGTTTGTTATTTGATGTACAAGAGGCTTCAAAAGCCTAAGTATTAATGCCTAAGCAACTAGAAAAACAAGCTACCTGAATTGTAGCAGCAGCCTCTTCCAGCAATTTTTTCTGTGGGGATAAGTGACCCCCTGTGTCTGTTAAGTATATATATATATGTTTATACTTTTTTTTTTTTTTTAATGGAGGAGGAAGTAATAAATATAATCTTAATTTTGCACACATTTTCAAAAATGAGTTACCATAAATTGTGTTTTCCAAGGCTATCTCACAGATGCTTTTGGTAAATTGAAAAAAACAAAGTACATAAAATATTCCAGTAAAAAGGCCTTTAACATATAATAGTTACTAATTTATTTTTCATTAATTAAATGTAAAGTTTTAAACATTTTAACTTCCAAAACATAAATTTAGAAGTTTATAACCCATTCAGAATTATAATTATGATTCTTCACTGGGTATCTTGAAAATAATTTAAATTCCTTCACAGGTAAATGTGCTGGAAATCAAAAGTAAAAGGTGATTGCTTTATGATCCACACCCTTAGCAAATGCATTTCACTGAGATTTTCTGCATAGCCTAGCAATGCACCATTTGGTCAACATTTAACAACCTTTGCAATAAAATTCTTATGTATCTGGTTATTCATCTGAAAACTTCAGGCCAATGAACTGATCTGGATCTGCCGTGTAGAAGAGCTCATGAACTATAAATGTTAAACTTAGCTTGGTTTTATCCCATCTTCTCATCTGGCAGCCAACTGGCAGGCCCAAGTGGTCCTTCAGGTATCTGTGAGAGACTGCAAGCAAAGCTTGCCCATAGTGGGCATTCATCCATTTGAGTTTTTTCCCCCATGTCCCTGGTGTCTTTCTGCCTGTCACCTGCCAATGGAACAGCATTTTTTGGAAGTTGTTATCAACTAAGAACCACCTGGGGCCCTCTGTTTTGCTCCATCCCAGTGCACAGTACCCCCACAGCAGGGTCACTTGGTGGGATGAAGGTGCTCAGGAGGCCACATGTAGAACAGGGCTGCAACTAAACACTGCCAAAAGACATGTGCTTCCACTGCAGCACAGAGAAGTCATCTTTCAAGCTGATCAGGGGAGCTCTGGAGCACAAAGAAACCTGGATTACGAATTCATACAACACAGACACATCACCAGTGTAGTGTGAATCAAGTCAAACGTGAGCCATGCTCTCCTAAGCAAGGTACAGTGCTTGGTTGGAAGCTGAAGGCAAGAGGTATAAGCTAATCTTCTAAATTACAAAAGATCTATTTTTTAATAATTTCACTTACTGTGTTACAGAGTATTTTGATAGTTACCAGTAGTTTAGCTCAGTTTCTCCTGTATATCATATTGAAACTCAAACCCTTTACAAAGCCATATCTGTGAATTCGTGGTCATCAGTGTCAGGACACACATACACTTCCTGCTGAAATAGCAGGAAAATTAACTTCTAATGTGCAACACAATGCAAAGACTCTGGTTTTTGTTATTTGGGTTTTTTTAAGTTATTAGCCAATTCCTAAATGTCTTATTGACTGTTTGTTGTCTAGAAAGCAGTTCACATCAATTCAGAAAATGTTCTTCTCTGCAATAAGCCACAGTTCCAAACAGAGCCTTGGTCACCTCTGTCCACCACACCCAGGGACTGCAGAAGAACAAAGCTTATCTTCGATGATATGTGAGTACATATGACTCTAAAATAAACAGTGACATTTAAAGAGAGAAAAATACAGTTTGTCCAACAGGAAATGAGACATTGCCTGGAGTATTATACTTTATGTACATTGAGAAATTAATAACAAATATTATATAAAACCTTAATTTTTCATCATGTATTAAGTTTCTAACCATAGGATAGTAGAATGCATAGAATCATGGAGTCATAGAATGGTTTGAGTTTAAAGGTACCTTAGATACCACTGAGTGCCAATTCCACTCCATGGGAAGGGCTGCCACTGACTAGACCAGGTTGCTCAAAGCCCCTCTCAACCTGTCATGGAACACTTACAGATATGGGTAACTCCACACCACAACTTCTCTGGGCAATCTGTTCCCATACTTCCCCTCACAGTAAAAAATTGCTTCCTAACAGCTAGTCTAAACCCACTGCCTTTCAGTTTTGAGTCACTCCCACTTGTCGTGTCACTGCATGCCCTTGTCAAAAGTCCCTGATCATCAGGGAGAAGTGAGGACTGGCTGTTCCCTAAAGGACAGAGAGCCAAGAGCCAGGATGCAAAATACAGCTGGCAGGGGTCCAGTCCCACAACACCCAAGCAAGGTGAGCAGGGTAAGCCTGAGGTTGGAGTCATCCCTGCATCCCTGAGCCGACAGCTGCTGCTGTCGTGGCTAGTTCTGATCAGCTAAAGGTATCACAAAGGCAGGGGGAGCAGGAAGCAGCAGTGGTTAGCACAAGTATCTGGAGAGATACTTGACCCTCTCCACTTCCACTTCATTCTTCACACATCCTTCACTCTCCTTCTCTTAAAATAATTTAAGCTTGTAACTGTCTTTATTTTTGGTAAATTAAAAAATCTAGTTTGTCCTCAAGGTCATGTAGGACATTGTATTATTTAGTGAATATAGTGGTGGAACTGAAGGTTGAACTCCTAGTACCTAGAAAATCCAGATTTTTTGATGGGTAATGTTATGGCCTGCAAATACTGATATTTGTTTCTGGATAGTGTAGAAGAGGTTCTGTTCAAGGTATGCCTCAAACTGCCTGAAGCTCTGAGCTGTGTGACCTTGACATATTTTTCATATTTCCAGGCTTTCACCCATGACATCTCAAACTCCTTTATACCAAAGGAAACCCTGGGATAACAAACAACCTGGTTTCCTTAGAAACTGCTTTCTACCAGAATTGGGATTTTTAATATTTTTTATTATTATTATTATTACTGTTGTTGTTGTTATGCTTGTTCACAATATCTGGTCTCAAGGTCAACTAGAGAGACAGGAGACTCTCATGAAAAGAAACCATTTTTCCTGCTGTAAGGTATAAATAATTCCTATGGACTTCAAAAGGATGTAACTGGTTTGTATGTCAAGAAAAGAGGACTGGTGAGATTAATTTTTGTATATTCATGGCAGTCATAAGCAGATGTAAGCTGAATAAATGTAATCAGTTTTTTGCCTCTTTTGGAGAAAACTTCCCTGTGTATATATCCTTACTCACCTTTCTCCACCTCCCTCCATGTTTTTAACTCTCCTGTATTCAACAATCTCCATTGAGGAAACATGAAACTGTTTATAAGTGCTACCTAACTCTTCATGTATCTTAAAATATTCTATCATCTATAATTTACTTGCAACTGTTCATTTTTTTCTGCAGTCTAAACATGTACATACAAAGCAGAAAGGTGCCAGTATCTGATAAAAGTCAAAATTGTAGGATGTGCTCACCTCTGGATTAGAAAAAAACATAGAAACAATTACAAGAAAACTGTTGTGTCTTCATCTGATTTTCCCTCAAGATGCTGACAAAAAAATAGGGTGAATGGTTTGCTTTATTTTTCCCCTAGGATATAGTCATAGGAGATCTGCCTTGGTCACCATCTCTATCATCTTAGAGGCTTTTATCACTAGCTTTCTCCATTAGTGTTACAAGTGATTCCTCTGGAAGGCATCTCCAATAAAACTGTTTCATCTTTTCAGAGAGAGATACAATTAAATTGTTCACGTGTAGTGCCTTCCATGTAGAATATCCCCAAGCAACTTGTAGACCACTAAAAAAAAATCTAAAAAGGCAAAAAAGATAAAAACACAGAATCAAATATGTCCTAATTTGGCCTTAAAAACCAGAAACAGTTAAATGCCTGTTGTGCTAACTAGAGGGAGATTGTCAAGTACTACAGCTGTCATCCACGACTTGTAGCTGGGATACGCCACCAGAGTATCAGCTACACTGGATCTTCATCCTGAAATTCCTGTGCAGAGAAGTCACTGAAATGTAGCAGATTAGACTGGCTGCAAATGTTAAATGTCAACAAATTTGACTCACATGTTAGAAGGATCAAATTAAACATGGCAGCCAGTCCCTTTCAAATTTGTATAGCACCACAGCAGAGGATTTGAAGAAATGCAATACGGTAGGTCTAAATTATGTAGTAATCCTAATGGCAGCATTTGTCCTAAATGATGCCTGTGAAGTATTTCATCTCATAATCCATGAAGTTCTGAATTACTGTAATCCAGCCATGGCTTTAAAGTCTTAATTTTAATCATACTCTAAAGTTCCAAAGAGAGTAAATCCCTTATATTTGATTTAAAACAACAACTAATTTTTTTGACCAGTCAGTGTCTCTTTACTGTATTCTCAATTTATTTTCTCTAGATCATTGACAACAGCTGTCACTAGCAATAAATTGGAATACAAGTAGGTCAGTAAAAAGTATATCTTGCTTGGCAGAGTGCTGTATACACATACACTGCAGTATAACAGTAAATATAGCTAACAGTCTTCAAAAGACAGGCAAAATTCTACTTCCCCTGGTTTGCCATTGTTTGCTGATGAATCTTGATATATCCCCAAAACTGGTTTAGCTGCTGGCTTGGGCTGCAGCCTGAGTGACTGGGGTGGCTGCTGATGTATCTCCCTGTCTCGCTGCCTCTATCTCCTGTCCTACAAGTATGTAGCAGCATGCAATAAGCATATACCAGGGCCCAGCTTATTGCAATGATCTTTTTCTCCTTAGAATCATCATGGCACTTCTCTTTCAGGTATTTCCCCACCTCAGCTGGGTTGTGAATTTGTTCCCGTGGAAAGTCCCAGGCTACAGGATCAGAAAATTCCTTCAGGGTTTGGTCCATATCCTCCCATTCTCCACACCACTCAGGATTTTCCACACCTGGGTCTACTCCTGGATCAGGGATCTCATCTCCTCTGGACATCTCAGCCCTCATTCTAGAGAAGCTGTAGATCATGTAGAGGAAGCTTACCAGATGAAACACCAGGAAAGCGATATCCCTAACACTCAGGGGAAACTGAACATTCTCAAAAAGTGACATAACAGATTCAAAGGAGAAGAAGGAAAAGAAAGGCTGAAAAGCCTCATCCCCTGCTCTTCCTCTGACAAACTGGGTGCAATTACCAATAAACTCCCAAAACGTGCTACTGGGACTGGGATGCAGGGTAGAATGAAGAAACCATAAACCAAATATACCTTGCACCAACTCCAGTACCTTTATAACCTTCCTATAAATCAATATCACCAAGCCCATCACAATAGCTATTTTAATCTGTGCCACTCTACTGTAAAAGCTACATGTTAGGGACAATACTGGAGCTATCTCTGGAGAAGAAAATAAACCTAGGGACCAGAAGGGTATTAAAACATCAAAAAAGCCTAGGGACCAAAACCACATGAAGGCCTCCACCCTTGGAGACATTATGCATTCAAACAACATGGCTACTGACTGCTTTATCCCAATACAGAGTAAGCACAACCAAAATGCAATCAGTACAGATGTTTTTCCACTTTCTCAAGCCCCATGTTGGGCTCCAATTAATGTATTGTCCTGGTTTAGGGCAAATTTGGGAGAAAACCTCCAAATGGGGTCCCTCTAGAAAGCAAATTCAAGAGGCCCCTCCCCCAGCTGGTTCAGGAAAAGATTTTCTTAGAGAAAAGTGAAAAAAACCTGTTTATTTAATAGAAATTGAATAATACTAAACAATGAAACCTCTTGCTGTTCAAAGAGATGGAACATCCAGAAAAGGCCTTGTTGTGGGGTGTAGCACGGCTCGCTCAGTTTCTTATCAGTCCCTCCAGCACTGGACAGTGCCAAGGCCCAGGCCTTGATGGACCACAAGCATGAGCTCCTGGTATTTTTCTGGGTTTTCAGTCCAGAGCAGACTTGGAACAGATCCAAGGAAAAAAACAGTCCAGGGAACTTCCCTGCTCATCTAGCTAAAAAACTAACAGTCAAGGAGAGCTCTGTCCCACTGTCTGTCCATGCCACAGACAACACAGTCCAGCAGCAGGATGCGGGGTAGTGGGGACTCTTTCTCTACACAAATGGCAGCTTCTTCCCCTGCTTTGCTCTCAGAGCCAGTCTTAAAGGTGCAGAACTTAATATGTAAAATAAACAAGGTGATTTGGGATACAACTATTACAAAGTCACCCCATGACGAGGTTCCAGAAGCAGAACTGAATTACACAGATGGGAGAGAACAGTCTCTTCCACCAGTCTCTCCCAATCTTTCCTCACCTCTGCAGGGTGATCCATGAGCAGATGTCTGCATTGAATAATGAGGATAGTCCAAACCCTGCAGCTCTTTGAGTAGTCTAGGACTCACATTGAATATGAGGAAGTCTCATCTAACTTCACATTGTTTTTGCTGTCCTATGTCTCTGGCTCTTGACAGAACTTGTTTTCCTTAGGTTTTGTTTCTCTGCTAATATCTACAAGTCCATCGCAGTGCAACTGGGCATTTGTCTGCTTGTGCTGGATCACAGAATGGTGTGGGTTTTTGTCCCCCTCAATGCAAAGATTCACAGATAGGGTGTGGAAAAGATAGTCCAATGACTCTATCTGAGGCTTAATTCCCAAGACAGCTTTGCTGTCCCTGTGGCAGTGGAAAATAACTTCACATACATTTGAAGAATGTGCTTAAAGTCCATTTTTAACAATATAATTACCCAGAAGTTTCCATTTTAGATGAGAAGGTTCACTGCAATT